GATGCACATCATCAATGGCACATGAGAGGGTAATTACCCCTGGCCACTCATCCTCATCCGCCACCAAGATGAAGGGATGAGATTTGTTACCATTATCACCTATTAAAACCTTAGGTCAAAACCATATTTACTTTCTTGTCATTTGCCTCATATTTTTATTCCAAACATATTCAAGTGTACTTACAAAAATGCCTTCAACATATCTTTAATTCAGGAGTGCAAAAAATGTTCAAGAGCCAAGGGCAAAATAGTAAATGATGTCCTTGCATGGGAAAGGCAAAAGGAGGGTTATGACCCCACCAATGGGATCAACTCAAGCCACACTCTTCATATGCTCTTCACACCTTCACATGGGTCACACCAATGAGGTGTATCCACATGAAATATTTTCCATGTGGATATTGATTTTAATGACAATTTTTATGTCAAAATTCCCTTGGCTTCATACAAGGCAAGTATGTCACATGTGTGACAATTATGCATGTGATTAAAATGTAACTTTAAGTTATAATCTTATAATATAAGGTTTGGAATTCAAATTAAATAATTAATTGTCAAAAGGGAATTTATGCCCAAAATAGTGAGGGGCCCATGGTGTCATGTGGCCACCCTATGGCCGCTTGGGTTCCGCATGGCATCCGCATGGATGTCCTCATTTGGAATTAAGGTCAAACAATTTTGAAAAATACATTTTTTTTTAATTTAAAAAATCTAGAAAAAATCTCCAAAAATCCCAATAAATATTTGAAACATATTTACATATTTTTACATCATTTCTCATCATAATTAAATCGGACTAAAGGTATATGTGAGATCTCAAGACTTTGACTTAGTAACTTGAGTACTCCATTGGGCTAATCCTGAATGATGTTCCATTGGTGTTTCAAGTTGACCCAACAGACTTATGCTCCATAGTTTATGACAAGGACACATAATTGGTCACATCAAAGTCACTGAGCCAGGGCTTCCTGCCATCCGGTTTCTCAATGGATTACAGGTGTACCCCTGTGGGACATATTACTACTCTATTACAAGGGTCTTCTTAAAGCACATGTGCACAGGCTCTTCCAATGTCGGATAATACATTTGGAAGAGTGACTTCCCATGCAAATGAATGTGTACATGCCACGAAATGATCTTGTGTCAGGATACAGACTCATATCCCTTAGGTCTTGACCATTCCATAGATGGCCAGCTCTCATCACAAGATACTCGGGCTCTTTTACACTCCAAGCCCTGGATAATTGCATCAATTATAAGGCATTCTAACCAATATTGTCCTGACTCGGAGGTGACCCTTACACCTCCCATAGAGATCACTCTATCAAAGCGTAAACTCTCAATGCCTCATACGTACTCGGGGTATTAGAATCTGGGTCCCAGTTCGCAAAGCACCCAGATTCTATCTCTCAGTCATTCCCACTGAGCGAGAGACTCTTGGCATTAAATTCTTGAAATGTCATATTGCCAACATTTCGATGGTAGTCTTGAACGTCTTCCTCTTACCAATGGCCTCAAGCATGAAGTCTATACAGTGTGCTGAACAAGGGTACCAGAAAATATGCAGCCTCTTATCCATCAATAATCTACCGACCGCCATATTAGTTGTAGACATATCGGTCACAACTTGGACCACTTTATCCTCCCCTATCTCCTCTATACATTGGTCCACCAATCTACAAATGAACTTTGCATTATGAGACTTGTCTGAAGCATCAATATACCTCTTGAACATTGTCCATAATGGACAATTCACCATCAAATTCATGATTCTTCTGTACCTCTTATCACTCCAGTCATCGGTCAGTACTGTGCAACCATTTACACTCCACGCATCAGTGTGGGTCTTCAAGTAGTTGTTCGTTAGCTCCACTTCTTTCATGAGTACTGGCTCTTTAAGCTCATAAGCAGTTGGAGCCCTAAACCCTAGCTCAAACTGGACTGTTCTGAAGCATCTATAGACCTCTTGAATATTGTCTGCAATGGACAATTCACCATCAAATCCATGATGCTTCTGTGCCTCTTATCACTCCAACCGTCAGTCATTACCATGCAGCCATATACACCCTATGCATCAGTGTGGGTCTTCAAGTAGTTGTTCGTTAGCTCCACTTTTTTCTTGAGTACTGGCCCTTTAAGCTCATAAGCAGTTGGAGCCCTAAACCTTGGCTCAAACTGGCCCACTGCTTCCAACATAGCTTGAAAGCTACTCAACTTAGCTCCATTAAAAGAAATGCCTGATTGGAACATCCACCTCCCCAGAAATTGGATGGCCCTTTCTTTCTAGTCCTTCTTCAAATGGGTCTCTAAGCTTGTCTGACCCCTTTCTCATGGTAGTACCTCAGGATCAGGGTGGGGTAAGAAAGCATCAATAGGCCCCCTTGTTCTTGGCCGATTAGAAGAACCAACCTCAGTATAGATGTCTTCTTCCTCTCTTTGATCTCCACTTATATTTACAGCCCCTACAAGTTGATCTCGTGTTATTCTCACATCTTGTTTCTTGGCTTTCACATCCTCCAAGTTCTCTAGCATCTCTCTCCTGACCTACTGAAGTGCATGACGCCACATCCCCTTCAATGTCGGCTAAATGCTTCTTCAATCTGTTGATGCCGGCATTATAGCATTTTTTGCAAAACTAGCATGCAATCCTATTCTTGTCAAGAGGATTTGGACAGGTTCCTTACTTCCAACTTGGATCAGTTGGCCTACTTGATGCACTAGAAGTCATTATCCTCAATAAATAATAATTGATCGAGTATCGATCAATGTGATTAAGAATCAATCACCTAATCAACAAACCTGTAAAATACATAAGATTAAAGAATTCCATCGCTAACTATTACTTTACAATAAGACTTAAATGAATAACTGAATATATAAGACATTATGACCTTAGTTTCACTTTCACATAAGACTTAACCCATTAAGATATCACATAATCAAGTATTTATCAACTAAGCTAAAACAAAAAAAATAGAATATCAAAATATGATACATTGTACAAAAAAGGAATCAACTATTCATAAAAGAATACGATATATGCTCAATTTCATCGTCCAAATAAGAAAAAATTCAATTAAATCACAAAAAATCAATCTTTTAACTACAAACATGTAAATATATCGTAAAGGGAAAAAAAAAGAAAAAAAAATACATATGATTCATAACATAATACGTTGTAGCAAAATAAAATCAAAACCCTCTTTCAAATATGATAATACTTAGCAACAAAACACTCCCCAGCTGTTCTTGCCCTCATTGAAACTAAGCAACCTGAACCCACTCTCCAGTTCATTCGCCAGGTATGGGGCAAAAGACTCTGCCAGTGCGTTTCTTTGCCGGCAAATGAGTCGTCTGGGGGCATTTGGGTGATCTGGAACCCTTCAGATCACACCCTCAACTCCCCGTTCATTGGGGAATTCTCAGTGACTGTTACCCTTTCTAGCAGTCCAGATGGGGTCTCCTGGAAATTCGCGGCCGTTTATGGCCCAATTCTGCTTCCCATAAACAGGCTTTGGTCTGAGCTGGATCAGGTAGCCGCCCTACCTCACCGTATATGGGCTCTGGGTGGTGACCTCAATGTTACTAGATGGTCTTATGAGAGGAATTCCTCCACCTCCATCTGTTAGGACATGAGGGATTTCTCTGACTTTATAAATCGACAAGAACTCCTTGATATCCCTCTCCAAGGTTGCCGTTTTACCTGGTCTAATCATACTTCCACTCCCTCTCTATCTAAGCTCGATAAATTTCTTCTTTCCGTAAATTGGGAGGAATCTTTCCCGGGCTCCTCTGCGGTAGCCCTTCCCAAACCCACTTTTGAGCACTGCCCTTTCTTCTTGACACTTTGGCTATTAGAAGAGGTCCAAAACCTTTTAGATTTGAATTGGCTTGGCGCCAAGATTGTCCCTCGTTAGCCTTATCCCAACCTGGTAGAACTCTTTCTCCTCCTAGGTAAAGGTAGGGCAGGCTATAAACTTCAGACAAAAATCCAACTTCTCAAATCCTCTCTCAGAACCTGGAGTAGGTCCTTTTCTTGGAACTTTTCCCAAATTAAATCCTCCCTTTTGGAGTCTCTGCATCAACTGGACAGTCTTGAGGAATCCAGACCTCTGAACACCATAGAAAAGGATCTTAGAACACAATCCAAGATGGAATATCTCTCTATCCTTAAAAAGAAGAGATATACTGGTACTAGAGATCAAGGATACGAAGGTGACTTGAACACCGCCTTCTTTCTTCGGATAGCAAATTGTCGTAGGCGTGACAATACTATCTCGATGTTAAAATCCAACAATTGCTACTTGGTCCACCCCGAAGCAATCGAGCAGGCCATTCTTGACTTTTTTCGGATGCTTTACCAGGCCTCTTTTATACCGAGACCTCGAATGTCATCCTTAGACTTCTTGACCCTCCCTTCAGACTGGGCTGAGTGGTTAGAGCATCCTTTCTCGGAAGAAGAGATCCTACAAGCTATTGATGCCTTAATCATGGCTAGAATGGAGTTTCGGGACCAGTAGAGGAAGTGGATGAGGGGTTGCTACTCCCACCCTTACTTCTCTGTCCTTATAAATGGATCCCCAAAAGGATACTTCCCATCGTCGAGGGGGCTCCGCCAAAGGGACCCTCTCTTTCTCTATTCCTCTTCACTATAGCAGCTGAAGTCTTCAGTTGCTCGCTCTCCTGTCTTTACCAGGCCGGTATCCTTTCAGGCTTCAAAAGCTGCCCGCAAGGCCCTATGGTGTCTCATCTGTAGTATGCAGGTGACACACTCGTTTTCCTTGATGCCTCAACCCGTGAAGCCGACTCCCTAAAGCTCTTCCTCCAGTGCTTTCAGTTAGTTACGGGCTTCAAAGTCAACTTGAAGAAATCTACAACGATGGGAGCTGGCCTATCTTCTTTCGAAGTTAGAAACATCGTCCCAGATTGGGAGTGTAAAGTAGAGGACCTTCCCACTACTTACCTTGGCCTCCCCTTGACACTGGGAAAACCGAAAAGAGGCTCTGGTCCCATATCCTGGATGAGGCAGATAGGAGGCTGACGGGATGGAAAGGCGGATATCTTTCTGTGGCAGGTCGGTCTACCTTGATCAAAGCCACCTTAGCTAACTCCTCGGTGTACGTCATGTTCGACTTCCACATTGCCTGCTCAGGTGGTCAATCTCTTGGAATGACTCATGCAGAACTTTTTGTGGCAGTGCAGGCAGAGAAGACTAAATTCCACCTGGTCGCGTGGGAAAACATATGCCTACGTAAAAAATTTGGAGGTCTAGGGAACCCTTAGGAACACAATTTGGCTTTACTCGAAAATGGTGGCGGTGTCTAGCTACTCAGTTTGACTCTTTTTGGGCTAGAATCCTTCAAAGTAAATATAAAATCTTGGAAGGCTCATGACTGCTTGATAATAGACGATGGCCGTCAGTGTCAGGAGCCTCAAAATCTATCCTAACCTCTCTCCCACAGTTCAAAAGATGGGTACGTCTTCAGCCAAGGGCGGGCGATAGGGTACTTTTATGGTCTGACCTTTGGCTAGGTCATACCCCTCTGAGCCAAGCTTTCCCAACCCTCACTAGCCACAAACAAACACTCCACCGTTGCTGAGGAAATGGCGCTAATAAGTGGCCGTAGGAACTGGAACCCTGCTTTCCGAAGGCACCTCACTGATGAGGAAGCCTTGCACTTCCAAATTCTCTCGGCTGCATTATACTCAATTTCATTCCCTTAAATGGGACTGATTCTCTAGTGTGGACGCTTACTCCTACTGGCCTTTTCATGGTTGCCTCTTTCTATAATAGCCTCTCTCAGGCTCCTACCCTTCCTGGTAACCCTCCATCAGCCTTGGCAAAAGTGTGGGCGACCTTTGCACAACCCAAGGTGCAAACCTTTTACTGGATTGCTGCATCCAACAGAGCCCTCGAGGTGGACCAACTCGAAAAAAGGGGGATCCCCATCCTCAATAGATGCGCCTTATGTCTTTCTGAAGGGGAATCTAGCCCTCACCTTTTCCTTCTTTGCAATGTCGTACATGATTTGTGGGATATGGTAATACAACTGTTTGGTATCCAATGGGTGACGCCATCCTCGATCAGAGCCCATATCTCTTACGACCTGGACTCTCAGTGGCCGAAAGCTGGGAAACTTTGTGGAAAGCTACTGTAGCGTTTACCATATGGATTATATGTATCAAACTACCAACCCCAGCTCTCTTTCATAGGATCGCTACCTTGGTCTCCATTTGGGCTTCCAATCATCAGACATTCGCGGGCATTCCAAAGAACTTCTTCCATAGTTAATGGAAGAATATTCTTTACTACCAACCGAGAAAGGCAATTAGACATAACAATTGGCAACCCCACCTGTTGGCTGCATTAAGTTAAACTTTGACGGTTGTTCAATTCAGAATCCTAGCCCAGCTAGCGCTGGAGGAGTTTTTAGAGACTACCACCGGAAAGTCCTCTTAACGTACTCCGAATACCTCGGTGGTGGTGACTCCCAATATGCTGAGGCCATGGCTTTGTACTGGGGCTGAAAAAGTTGAACCAGTCTTGGGGACCACGCCTCATTGTGGAAGGAGACTCCCAAAACACAATCTCTTGGGCAAGTGGGAAGATCCTCCCCCCCCTCCCCATGGCAACTTACCACCAATTTTGATGAAATCTTTCACATTTGTAGGGATATGGACGTGTCCTGGAGGCATATATGGAGGACGTACAACGAGTTCGCAGATCTCATGGCGAAGGCGGGAGCTAGAATGCAAGAGGAAGATAATGCCAGGTCCTACTCCTTTTTTGTCACGGACCACAAGCACACTTAGTAGCTTCGAAAGTGTCTTCCTTGGTTTTTGGTTTTATTTTTTGGTTACCCATTGTAAATCATTGTAAACGGGCGACTATTATAAGCCCCTTTTTGTATATGGCTCACTGATGTATTTTTTTCAAAGAGCTACCCATGTGGGGGCTCTCGGTCTTCTCATTTTTGTAACAATTACTGGCTCAGTAATACAATGGTAACATTTTTTTTAAAAAAATATTTTAAAAATATCAAAATCAAATCGATGTCGGTGCAAACCTCATCTTTTGGGTCACCAAAAGTTCCCAAAATCAACTACTAGAAGCTCCAAATCCTCCCACGAAGTATTGCCTTTGTTTTGGGAAGAAATCGAAAGAATAAAAAATTTATAGTTACGTAATACTGATGTGCGAATCATACTGAGCCGTGCTCCATATTTTGTTGCAAAATATCTTTTTTGCGCTCATGGATAGGTATTACAACTGATTGAACTGTGCAATCTAAGGCACTTTCGAAATTTGAACTTGGAAGTATATCTCAAAGTCAGAGTCTGAGATTCTCCTGCAATATAAGTCTTCTTTTAAAGTCCATCCTTCGTCTCGTGTTTTACATGTATTCATATATGATTCTTTTCTTGCATTCGCCTTCCAGTTTTATATTATCCTTTTGAAAACATCTATGGATTGAATGATCTAATTTTAATTTAGTCCTTTTTGTATTCAGTTCTTTTACCTACACTTGCTGGTAAGCATTTACGTTTCCACTAATTATTTTGAATGCCCGATCTTCTTTATTTTATTTCTGATTTGGAAATGATATGATTCAGGCAATTTTTGGCTGATGTAGATATGAGGAGTCCGAGAGAGACTACAAAAATTTTTTGGAGTTAAAACCTAGTCCTTCTGCTGCAGAAAAAGAACTTTCCCAGATGTTCCAGGCAAAAAGTTCTCTTGAAGTTGCCATAGATCTTTTTAATTCCAAAATTGTTATCAAGGCAATGGACCACCTCGACAAAGTTGTCATTGTTTTTTCACCGGAGTGCTCCAAGGTCTGTGGGTTTGTTGCTTTTAATTTGTTGCAGCTGATGATTTGGTATATCTATGCAAATGAGATGGTGTTTAACACTGATAATATTTCTTGTTTCAGGCAAAACTTTTAAAAATTAAGATCTTGATAGCGGAAAAAGACTATTCAGGTGCCATTGCTGAAACTGGTTATATACTCAAATCTGATGAGAGTAATCTGGAGGCTTTACTTCTGCGTGGACAAGCCTATTATTACCTGGTTGATCATGATGTTGCTTTGAGGTATGTTTAGTGGAATTTGTAGGCAGTGCCATAATGGACAGATTTGTTTTGTGTGTGTATTACTTTCAAGGTTCATGGATTTCAAGGTTCATGGACAGTGTAAAGATCAAACATCTTGCCCCCAATTGATTTTGAAGCTGTAATGACTCTTATCTGCAGTGTGAAAGAACAGTTTAAAATGGGTTTGTGGTTTTTGCTTTGTCCAGATATTTTCCGTTTTTGATGAAATGCTTTTGAATATTTATGGAAGAAACTAAACCTTTTTTATTTTTATTTTTTTTAAATTTCATTTTTGGGTTGTGTCAACAAACCGTGTTTGAGCATATCCGTTCCCATCTTTTTGGTCAAATGAAAATATACATTATATATGTTGTACTGTCACATTGCCCTAGTATTCGCCAACACACTACAAGAAAATTCTCATCATTATTTTTCTTCACAGAAATATTAAATAGAGGAAACCTGCAACATCCTCTTTTGGGAAATCTTTTGTGTTTGTTTTTCAAGATTATCAGATCTTGAGTTTGCTCACCTCAGTTCATACAGATGGGAGTGGATTGTTTAGTTTTCCTGCTGTAGGTATCTGTTTTCACTTTTGTCTCTTCATAGTCCAAATTAGCCGCCTCAAATTATCTTAGTATGAAATCAGTCTCCAGCTTTGGGGTTCGTGATTTTTCCAACGTGATTTACTCTAGTATGCATGCATTTCTTCAATTGCTCTAAGGGCCTCGCTTGTTCTTAAGGCTAGCCTTTTGTGGGCTGCCATTGGGGAACATGTTCACAAAAATTTAATAGACTGGGGCCATCTTTAGATCTTGGTACTGCTTGCAATATAACTCAACTCACAGCCTCCCACTAGTCTGCAATTTTCCCCTTGATCAGTTCTTTGTCCTGTTAGGTCAATTCTTTTGGATCACTAAGGCTACAATGGGAAGTATGATTGTACTACATGCTGCTTTGATGTTTAAATTCTTCATTTCTTGATTTAAATGACCATCAACAAATTTCTTATGCTTTGAAAAAGTAAATGGAAAAGACTTTGATTTATGTTAGTGAAGTTGTTTATGTGACAGCTAGTTGACTCTTTCAAATATTGTGGGTAGAAAGGAGGATATGCTGCATTAGTGGTTTCTGGGAAGTGATATAGCCTCCACAATGTCTTTCTTGGACATTTACATAAATATTTCTTTGTGAAGGCACTACCAAAAGGGGCTTCGTCTTGACCCGGAACATAGTGGACTGAAGAAAGCTTATTTTGGATTGAAAAATCTTATAAAGAAGACTAAAAGTGTAAGGTTCAGAATTATTTTTCAAGATGCATTCTAAGAGATGGTCGCAGAGTTTAAGTCTGCCAAACATGTTCTGGAATTAACAGGGTGGTTCATTTGTTTTCCTCACGCTGAAGAGAATCTAGCTAAGGGAAAGTTGCGATTAGCAGTAGAGGACTTTAAAGGAGCACTTGCGCTGGACCCGAATCATACTGCATACAATGTCCATCTTTATCTTGAGTTGTGCAAGGTATTGATCAAGCTTGCCAGGGGAAAAGATGCTTTGGACAGTTGCACTGCAGCACTTGACATTGATGGGGAGCTTATAGATGCTTTAGTTCAGGTCTGCTCATATTATATTTTAAGTGCTTTTTCTGGCTTATTTCTTAATGTCTTACTTAAAGACATTATCAGTTTTTTGACAGACATGGAAGTGCTTATTCCGATGGAAAAGTTACGTAATTTTATTATTTGATTGTCCAACTATATTTATATGTTCTTTTTCTTTTAAGTGTTTTCTCTGATCTTAATAAATCTCATATACTTTCATTGTTATTCTTTTCTCTTTCTCTCTCGATAAAAAGAATTGAGTGTTACATGTGTATCTTTCCTTAATTAAGATATCACTGAGCCAAATTTGGGGCATCAATACCTGGTGTAAAAAAAAAAAAGTCTGCAACATCAATTGTTTGGACTGAACTAGGACTTTGTAACGAGCTGGCTATTCGGAATGGGCTAGGTGTCCTCTCTTTCCATCCCCTCCCTCTGATGGTAAAACTGTGATTAGCCAGCCGTGGACTGCTTCCTGCTCAGTCATCGGGCAATCGAACATAGTATCGCTTGTTTTCTCACTCCCTCAGCCAACACAGCAGCCTCCTCGTTTGCTTCGTCCAAGTGCGAAAGGGCACACCGGGCCTGCTGATGCTGTCAAAATTTCCTCATAAAACACTTGAAAGTTGCCATGGACCCTCTGCTTGCCCTGTTCCCCCACAATGACATTGTTGGAGTCACTTTTAATTTTCAGTTTCTGCCAATTATCTGCTGAACATTGCTGTCCAGTTAGCAGTGGTCCATCTCTATTGTTTCCAAACACAGCTCTTCTGATTTCCTCCATTTCATATGGCTACTTAACCAGGTGGCACTAACTGGTGATAATTTCTTGAACGGTACCCTTGTTAAAGACGTATTTACCTTCTTGTCTCTGTGAACAACTTCTGAAAATTCTGTATGATCACTGCCTCCATTTCCTCCTGAGATTCCATCATTTGAGCCCAATTTGTATGTTTTGAATATTATTGTTTCTGTGCTAAGTGCTTGCTGTCTTGTGGAAGAGCCTGGTATTCTTGTATATTTCTATTAGCCACTTTATTCTGGACTTTTGATGCTGGGATATCTCTTCCATTCTCAGGCAATGCTGTAATTTCACTTGTCTCCACCCTACAATTATGCTCCCCACATCTAACTGTCTACTTTCCAGTGGTTTTGTTTCAGCCACTCTGCACGGCATGGAGTCCTTCTTTGCTTCTAAATGACCAAACATTCTCTCTTCGAGGCAGGTCTTATTCTGCTTTACGCTATCTAGCTCCTCCCAGAATGGATCTCTGTTGGCTGGTCAATTAAGGCCTTACACAGCAGTAGGGGTCTATGTAAATTGATGCTTGGGACTTATAAAAGATACAATGACTGACCACTCACTGTTAATGTGGTCAGCTATACATAAGGCTGTGGGATCCCATACTATCCATATCCTTGCAGATGCTGTCTTTGCACTTTAAGCCACCCAATTCGTTTTCTCCCCCATAGTGCTAAAGTTTCCATGCATTCTGGATCAACTAATTCCCCATTTCAGTCTCTCCTAAAGAATCAAAATATCATGCCTTTTTTCCGTTAAAGCAATTTTACCAACTTCATCTGGGGGTCTCTCAGGCCCCTTATGATCCATAACATGATCTGCGTGATGGTGGCTTGCATGGAGTCTAGTTTTGAATAAAGGGACACGTTCCATCTGTGAATGGCTCAGAGGCATGTCTGCACTTGTCATAGTGTCAAACACTAGGTTTCTGAGCTTTCGGCTCTCTCTTCCTTTGTCCCTAGTACCATTGTTGTCCTTGTTGTAGCAACTCATCTGCTTATGTTTTGTCTTTGACGGCGTTGACTTGGAAGGTTTGCTGTCTATGCATACCGCATATGCTTTGATATCCTCATTGCTTGCAATATTTCATCGATATGAGGCCCTGCCCAAGAATTCTTTTCCTTCCCCAAATTCATGGATTGGGTTTCAACAAAGTATCACTGCATTCTTTGTGCCTGCTGTATCTACCATGTCTTGCCATACTTCATTTGCACTCCACGGTATTTTAAAGGTTTTACATTTAGATGACCATAGGTTGAAGGCACCGAGCTCTCGAGATGATTGTTTATGGCAAAACCTGTTTTGCTATAATCGACTTATTTAAAATTAGGAAGTTGGTTCTTTTCTTTTCCCTTGTCCATCCTAGAAAGACATCCCCACGGGCCTCGGGGGTTTGGAAATCTGTACTTCGTCTCTTTAGATCATTCATTTGCTTTCACCCGAGGGATGGGACAAAAGTTAGGTTATGGATAGACCTATGGTTAGTCCATCTCTCCCTTTCTCTCTGCTTTCCACAGCTTTTCTGTCTAGCTAGGAATCCCGAAGCCTCCATAGCTGAGCTTCTTGCTGTCGTCGGAAACTCTAGAGTCTTGACCTTGGGATCCCGATTTCACAGCCCCTTGCGGGATGTCGAATTTCCAGCCTTTCTGGGACTTTCCTATCTCCTCCACTCCTTCACCCTCTCACCCCATGGGGACAATCAAATCATTTGGACCCCGTCCCCTTCAGGGATCTTCTCTTTCTCCTCTTTCTTTCACAAGCTTAACTCTCCCCAAACCACCCAACCCGTGCATCTTCCCACCACTGCAAAAGCCTGGATTTCTTTCATTCCACCCAAGCTTCAGGTCTTCAATTGGTTCGCCTTGTGGGACAGAGTTCTAACAGTGGACAACTCCAAAGAAGATGCTACAAACCCCCAACAGATGCATGATATGCTTTTCGGAAGAGGAATCCAACTCCCACTTCTTCATACACTGTAATTTCGCGAGTCTTATTTGGAAGGACCTACTTCAGCTCTTTGGTTGGTCGTGGGTTGCACTAGAATCTGTTCCTCAACTGTTTCAGCAAATGGGCTGTCCTTGTGGCCCAAATCCGGAGTTTTTCTTTGGGTGCATACCTAGAGGGAGGCCAACCAAGTGGCCGACGCACTAGCTAAGCATGGAGCTTCAATGGAGTTGCCCTATGCTGTCTCATATATGGCCTTCACTTCCTGGTTTCTGTGAATGTTTTGTGCTTGTTTTGTACTTTCTACATATGCTTGTAATTCCGCTTGTATAGCCTTTTGTTTTGCCACTCTTGTTAGTGGCTTTTTGCGCCCTGGGCGTGGGTTTTTTGTACTACTTATATTCTTACTCTTAATACAAGGTTAACAGTTTCAGTAAAAAGGAAGGGAAAATGACCTCTACCCCCCTCCCCAAAATTTTCATCCCTATTAGCCCCTTGGGTTCACCAAAATCCCCTGTACCCCCTCAAGTTTAAAACATTGGGATCGTTAGCCCCTCAATTATGTATTTCTTTGTTCTTTTTACAAATTTGATCTTTTTTACAAAATTCCAAGCTCATACATTAGTCATCTATACTTTTTTTGTGACTTGATATACAAATTTTGTTTATGATAATAATAGTATTAATAATAATGATGATAATAATAAGAACAATAATATATTAATATATTGTTAAATAATTCATCTCTTATTGGTATTTTGATAAATTTCTTTTATAAATGAGTAAATAAATAATAATAATCCATTAACAATAGTAATAAAGATTTTGGTTAATCATTTTGCACGTCGAAAGATATTGATGCAATTGTAAATTAGGTCATAATATTAAAGAAAGTTTCTTTTTTTCTTTTTTCTTTCCCACAGAGGTAAGATTGGTTTTGCACAACGAAATAGAAAGGGAAGGGAGTTACTAATGGATGGGATTGGCCTTTTGTAAAATAAAAAGATCAAATTTGTAAAAAGAACAAAGAAAAACATAATTGGGGGGCTAATGGTCCCAATGTTTTAAACTTGAGGGGGTACTAGGGATTTTCAATGAACTTAAGGGCCTAATAGGATGAAAATTTCAGGGAGGGGGTAGAGGTCATTTTCCCAAAAAAAATTAGGAAGGTTTCTGCTGCACTCCAATTTTATATCCAGGATTCCTAAGGTGAATTTTCCTGAAAAGATTCCAGAGTTTTATCAAATTGGCATGTCTTAGGTGCTTTACATGATCATCTCAAATAATATGAAGTGCGTCTATGATCAGTCTTGCCCAGAATAGTTTCCTGTGAGCAATGAGATTTGACACTTGGAAGGATATGTTGTAGAAAGTGTTCATATGTCTTTAATGCAATAATGTGGAAGATGTAGCACGATAACTTCACCATCAAAGTCGATATGCCGAAATGCATAATTGTGCTGTCTGGGGTTTTCTTTTCAACGCCACAGAAATATATTGTTTTGAAGAAAAATAGAATAGCTTGACTTACATCTGCCTCTCTTCCTCTAAAATTCTCAGTACCACTAGTTGCTTTAGAGCTTCCAGAGGAATTTGTCAAACTGGCAACTCATTCCCTATCCTTATATATATATATGGGAAAAGATTGTATTAGCCCACTAGCTCATGAGCCCAACGGCCCATATTGAATCTGAGCCGATCTAACGATCACGGATGTCCGGTAGTGCTTGAATTTTATTTTATTTTTTTCAAATCCAAATGACTTGAAATTTTAGGTGTGTGTTCTTCTCATCAAGACGCACCTATAAAAATATAAAAACAATTATTCGTGAAAAACAAAATGACCAAAATACCCCCCGAATCTTTTTGGGCGTATTTTCGTCAATTTATTTAATGTAAAATATTTTTTTGATATTTTTCGAAGATTCACCTATTTTTTATGAACACACGCTTAAAATTTCAAGTGATTTGGATTTGTAGAAAAAAGCTAAAATTCAAACACTACCGGACATTCGTGATCGTCAGATTGGTCCAGATTCAATTTGGGACGTTGGGCTCATATGTTCATATGAGTTAGTGGGCTAATCCCATCTTTTCCCTATATTCGAGTTATTGTGTAGAATGATGAATAAAAATTAATTTTGGAGCCATCTACACTAAAGCCATTTCCAAGGGATGTCCAATTGTTTTATACCTCTATGGTGACAATATAATTTGGAAAAGAGAACATTCGTAACGTAAGAAAACTCAGCAAATTCAATGGTTAATATGAAGTTATATTGAGATATAAAACTAAGTAGGATGAGATTGTGAGGGTTTTTTGTTAGATCTCTAGCCAACTCATCATTCATCACTGTTATCTTTTAATGGTCTTCAATGTTTAAAAAACCAGACCACCTGGCGCGTAGGTGCCCCAAAAAAAATTTTCGCATGCCTTGACCTGGGTGCCCCAACATAGGCGGCTGTACCTAGGTGGGCGCCCAGGCGGGTGCCCAGTGCCCAGTTCTGGGCAGGCGCCTAGCACAATTTACGAATTTTTTTTTTTAACTTCGCCCAAAACGGCAAAGGGGGTCATTTTGACCCCCAAATTTGTATAAAATAAGTTTAGGGGTTTATTTTTCATCCCCAAACTAAAAAAGGGTTTATTTTTCAACCCCAAACTAAAAAAAACAAGAAACCCTCAATCTTAAACTTATTTATGAGAATCTAAAGCAATTGCTGAGAATCAAGAGTACTTCTTGTTGATTGAAAAAGTTTGTTTTTCTAATTGAAATTATTTTTAGGGTGCTATTGGTGGTATTTGGAGACCTTACAGTGGCCTATTAGACTTTTAAATGTTTTGTATGGTTCAAAATTTTGAATAAGTTTATTATCAACCTGATTACCTGAGAGGCTGAGACATGTGATATGTTTGTATATAAAAAGGTATGTTGCGAACTTGCTAAATTTTCAATTTCAAATGGAATACATTACTAATTTTTACACAAATATATGCATATATGTGCATTTGGTTAGCAAATATATAAAAAAAAACTAATAATTTGCACCACAGGGCGCCCGACGTTCTGGGCACCAGCCTAGGCGCTGGGCGCCAAGTAGGCTGCCTAGGGGCCGCCTAGCGTTTTTTGAAACCTTGATGGTCTTGTGTGGCGTCTTCAATATTTATTGATGGGGACATGATTAGTTCACTGAGAAAGTCTGGTTGATAATATCGAATCTTGTGTTTAGAATTTGAAAGGTGAAAAAATGCTATCTTGTGGTGGCAGGTTGAACCCTGCCTTTTTTTAGTAGCATGCTCGATCTCACCCTGGCTGCTTTTATGGTGCTTTTCATGAGTCTTCCTGACATTGAAAAGAATTATGCGAGAATTTATTGGCGTGGTGCATCCAAGAAATCTGGGGTTAGTTGGTGATATTATTATTATTTTTGGGCAGGATGGGGGCGTGGTGGTGTTTATTGGCTTATACAAGAATGACATTTATTTATTGTGGAACATTTTGCAAATTTTGAAAAAAATTGATCCAAATATACGCACTCGACTATATAATGGGGCATCCTGTGTGGACTCAATAGGTAGGAAAGGTATTTGTGTAAAGATGGTTATGTAAGGGTACAGTTCAGGTGAGTCTGGGGATGCACCTTTTACAGTGAGTCCACTCTCACAAAAATGCATCTTGGAAATGGATTTCGAAGATCGATTTGGATCCAAAAGTCTTGCAAATCTATCATCTAGATCCCTCTATTATGTTCTTCTTTTCTGAACCGTTACACTTGAATTCTCCAAAGATCATCAGCTCACTGTTTTGGAGCTCCAAGTTCGTGAATCTGAGGTGGAAATGTGTTTGAAATGATTTGCGATGTGTTTCAGGTCCTGAATTCCTCGATAGCCAGGGTGGACGCATGAGTTGGCACCAAATACTTTGCCTTGATTTAATTATGATTTCTTCCCAATTTGCATTCATTAACTAAATCAGCACAGAATCATACTAGAGTTATATGAACGTAAATGTACATGGCGCATACATTTATCTTTGCTGTCTGTGTGTGTTGATTATGCATGGCTGTGTAAAATGTTCGAGCCTCACTGTCTATGGATTTTGGATAAACTGGTAACCTTCAAATACATATACATATGTGTCTATCTTTACAAGTATAAGAAGTTGGTTTGTGGTTTGTTTCAAGTCCTATACTGTTTTGTGGTACACAACTGTCTGGTTGCTCAATCTTATCAAAAAAGGTCTCTCTTTAAGTAGAAACATGTCCTATGGTTTTTTTGTTTTGTTTTGTTTACAAGGATATCATAACTTCTTTCAGTCTGTCAAAAATATTTGTTCTAGCAGTAAGAAACAGTTTCATAATAGTGCCATCATTCTTTGGGTGTGATTCATTGTATTTTCACAATTTAACATTACATCTTTATTGCATACAGAGAGGTGAAGCCAAACTTTTAGTTGAAGATTGAGAGGGGGCAGTTGGCGACTTGCAAGCAGCTGCGCAAAAATCTCCTCAGGTTTGTTGTTAGCTGCGCAAAAATCTCCTCAGGTTTGTTTTTAATTTTGAAAAATTGTTTTCATAAACTCTACTGGTAAAATGGACCAGATGTCAGTAATATCTGTTACGGTTACTTTAAAATTGGCACTACACCAAACCTATTTGCCCTAAAAGGCAACATCTAGTTATGGAACACACTATACACACTACTAAAATCACTGACTGCTTTTGACCCAGATGATCTATTGATAGGTATTTTATAATCTATTGTTATTTAAAAATGAAATCCCTCCAACTTGCAAAAAAAAAAAATGGATTTCTTCAGAAAATATTGGAATCATTTTAGTGACCAATAAATAAATTGAAGCATTTTAATGATAAAAATTGAAGCTTTATATTATTACGATCTTTGCTAGGATGAAGGGATTAGTAATATCTCATCTCTCTTCAGAGACCTAGCATTCTTATTGAAAGACAGAATGGAGGATGGGAAAGCCTAGCTTCTAGTGTCTGGCTTCCTCAACGAAATGCCAACTCCTGAGAACTCACCTCATGCATTGGGTAGTATTGGTTTTTCTCTCAGTTTAATTTACTGTTTCTCTTGTTGGTTAGAGTATTCAATACAGCATTGTATTAATCAAATAATAGGGAGGTCAACAGAGGTTCTTGCTCTGAGACACATGTGGAGCACCAGGCAGGCCACTTGTGGAGCTTTCTGTCCTAGCGAGAAGGACATGAGGCTTTTCTCCCAAACATCTCCTTAGTGCATGCGGAAACCTCCAGCGACAAGAATCACTGCATCCTCTGGTGGTTCTGGCCCCTCTACCATCGATGCTTGTGTCGATGTGAATTTGTAGAGGTTGGTTTAGCAGATCATAAAGGGGAAGAGCAAACAATTCATTTACCCAATAAAAAAAGAGCAGACAATTCATGTCCTGAGCTTGGTGGTGGATTAGATAAGTTGTCCAAAACTCTCTCCTGGCTTTTTCAGTCAAGTGCCTCTGTCTCTCTCCCACTTGAACTCTGTCTATCTGTTGCTGCTTATTCATTGTATTTGGGGTTATTCCAAAAGGGTTATTCCTTTTGGAATAACCATTTTCCTGCCACATTCTTCACCCTCATGCATTAGCTCTTCCAGCCATATTAGACTGTTTCTGGTGGTGTTCCTTGATCGTGCTCTATGGCCATTTGCTAAACAACCATATTAGCCACCTCGGGACTGTTTTGAAGTATTAAGGAAGAATGACTGTAAACAAAGATAAATCCACCTTTGGACAGAGGCCTATTTGTAGGGCATTTGATCAGAGGAGGGTATTGCTGGATGGGCGAAATAATTGGAGCCAAGTGTCAAGTGAATGTTTGTTCTTGAACTTCTCATACAAGATCTATGTTGAAGTTTTGATGTGCTTTGAAAAAGGTGCGGCTAGGGAATTTTGATGGGTGTAGGAGTTCTATTCAGATTAGGTTTCCTAACATGATTAGGGGTCCTAGTTGGATTGGGTTTCCATTTTTTGGTTTGGATGTGAGTTGTAATTGGATTGGTATATATCAAGTTGCATGATGTGCAGACAAACAATATATTCATGGGGAAGTAGTATGAGGGAAGAAAGAAAGTGAAGAGCACAAATGTAAAAGATATGTGAAGAAGAGTGCAGCCAAGAGGGAGGGAAGTTCTCCCTGAGAGCTTTTCTCAAGATACTCTTTCCCTCCTGGTGAATCAGAATCGAAGATTGCTTCTGTGGAATATAGTGAAGGGTTATGGGTCGGTCAGTAATCAAATGAATAGTCTCCTCCATAATCTTTTTATGTCTTTATTGGCAAATATTCTCAGCCCGAGTCCATGTAATTGATTTAAGATCGTTAGGGGCTGCGGACGTGCTATTTCAGTTTTAAAGCCAAGGAGCTATTGAGCCTTATGCTCTTTTGAGTTGCAGAAATCCATTGGTCCAGAATAGACATAAATGATTGTCCCAACATTCCCCCCCCCAATGCTGCCAGAACACCCACCCCCCTCCGCCTGGTCGGCAGACCAGCTCCTATCAAAGTCAAGTTTCCAAGTTCCAATGAGTGGGTATGGCCACCTCTCTAATTGTCTCAGGCTTCATCCCAGGCTCAAACAAGTCTTAAACAAAGGTGACATTATTCCCCATGACACATTGTCCACCTTGATTTGTTTGATGAAACCACTTTCATTGGATGTCTCCAAGGATACTTGTTTGATTAGACCACTAATTTCAAGGTATTGTCCTTCAAAAATATGCTGGTTCCTTGTCTTCATATAACCCAAAGTATCACTAAAGGGACAACTTCCACAGGACCCTTCTGTTAGTGTCATAGGCAAACGATCCCATTAGTGGGGAGCTTTCCTATTGTGGAATGGTGCAGGACAAGATGCCTTTTATTTTTGAAATTTTTATGTTAAATTTTAGGTATGTGTTATTGGGATTTTTAGTGTTCAACTCTAGGGTTTTTTAAGTGGAGGAATTTTAGGGTTTCCTTAGTTTTTTAGGATTTTATTGGTTGTTTAGAATAGGAGTCAATGTCCTTATAGAATTTTGTATTTTATCGAGGTAAAAATATCATTGCAAATCTTTTTCATTTCGACTTCTATTTCAATTAGAAATAGGATTTCTTGGGATCTAAGTAAGGTCTTTTATTATAAATAAAGGGTCTAATAGGGCTTTTCATTTAAATATTTCCATTGTTAGGAGTTCTAGTTGAACTAGAGAGCTTTGAAGCTTGTGTTGTTAGCTTCCTTTTCTCTCTGATTAAATTATCAAAGTTTATTTTTAATATGTTTTATTCGAATTTGCAGCATGGTATCTCACATGAGGTACCAAAAGGCATGTTCATCCTTGTAGCAGTGGAACAATGTGGCACAAACGACATATTGGTGAAATGGACGGATTCCTTATTAGGATGCTCAATCGAATAGGGAGCTGTAAAGGTTATAGAACTTCTCGATTTCCTAATGATAATAGGATTAGGGCAATATCAGCATTTGGAAGGTTTTGGGACTCCTTTACCCAAGATTTGGAAGTTTTGAAGAGTAAGGGATATGGATTAAGTGTATGGACTACGAGAAAGGTTGTGGTAGATATCAATTAGCGTATGAGATGGGGCCTTTGCTCAATATGGATACATTTGGAGATTAACAGGCCAGTAAGGTTTAAGAAGAGAATGAATTGGAGATATGAGGTTCTAGGGTTTAGGTAATGACGAGTTGGGTGTAGTGCAGGAAGGGACAAGAGGATTTAAAGCAGTGCTTAATATTGCATGAGTCTGACTGGACTTTTGGAAGATGATGAAAAAGGTGAGGGCAAGGTTGGTAGATGATGATAATGGGGTAAAGGGATAAAGGGTGTGGTATGTCAAGAAGGATGTGGCCCTAAATCATGGATGGAATGAAAAGTATACATGAAATAAGGCAACTTAAGTAGCTCATTATCAACAACAACAATCCTAGGCACTCATGGCATGAACACCTTGAAAAAGTGAGGCATCAGCAACACCAAAATGGAGTCAGCACCATCAAGCTCGAAAGCTAAATTTTATTTTGAATTCTTAATTGCATTTAGCCACTGGCCTGTATGATGCATATATAGTGGTTTCCTTGTCATAGTCTACCTTTACTTGATTCTTGAAACAACTAAAAACAAAGACCCCTGAAGACAAGATACCAAACCTAAATGCTATTAAAATATATAAAAATAACCTACTAATTATTGGAGATCACTTAAATAATCCAAAAAAGGACAAAGTGAACTCCAAATACAACCCCAAAATGGAGTCAGCACCATCAAGCTCGAAAGCCAAATTGTATTTTCAACTCTTTATTGCGTTTAGCCAATGGCTTGTATGATGCATATATAGTGGTTTCCTTGTTGTAGTCTACGTTTACTTGACGCTTGAAACAACTAAAAATAAAGACTCCTGAAGACAAAGATACCAAACCTAAATGCTATTAAAAAAATATATATAAAAAAACCTATTAACTATAGGGGATCACTTAAATAACATAAAAAAGGACAAAGTAAAGTCCTAATGTAATTCTATTGAAAAGTATCACTAATTATACTTAAAAGTCATCTCTAATTGGGAAGGGGCTACATGCCAGGTTGTTAGGTTGATGTGGCGTCACAATTTGACGTCTTCAGTTCCCTTTCTACCACGGATAGGGGATCCCTTTCCCACTGAACTAAAAAAAAAAAAATTCATCACTAATTATGTTACGGGAGTTATTCTGGGGCACGGAACATCCAATTGATGTCATTAATAATTTCCTCTTTTTTGTCAAATGAGTAATTCAGAACTCTAAGGCTTCAGATGAGATCACCCTACCTTCTAGCATTAGCAATCCTATAAAAGAACCTTTTTTTATCACACTTTTTGAGCCATTAGATTAGGGATTCCTCTTGAGGAATATTATGACATTGAAGTTTTATTAGCTCGCTTCTTGGCCTCTTGTCTATGTTGGTGATAGAATATTCTTCCTATGAAGCTTACAATCTCCTTACCTTCCTTCTTGTTCAATGGACCAAAAGTTTCCATATTCCACACTTTGATACCAAACTAGACATGTTGGAGTCATCTCTTCATAGAGATGCCTGCCAAACCTTTGATGTTTGCACTATTCTACCAAGAAACATGTTCTTTTGGAGCAACTCGATCGGTTGTAAATAATGTTATATTTGTAGTAGGCAAATGATGTGGCAGATAGATTAGACAACGAGGGAGCTGGTATTGTTGCCTTTACTTTGGAGGACATCACCACATTCACTGACTTTACAACCTGTCATCCTCCCTCTCTCCCTGTCTTCCTCTCCCTTTTTTCTTCCCCTTGGGAATTGTGTTTTTGTTTGTCTGTATCCTGTCTGATAGTTTTACCTATACCTTCCCTTTGATATATATCCTTTTTATAGTTCAATGTTATCCATTATTGTTTTTGTTGTTCCTTTTATGCAGTGTTATCTATTTAAAAATATAGGGGAAAGAAATACACAGCAAGTTGCTTATGAACTCAGGATGATCAATTCTTCTATTTTTTATCAGAAAATGATCGAGGTTATATTTATTACTGGGCAATGATCTGGACCACATTTTGGATTCCATATTGGGTTGCTCTAGCAAATATATATGCCACATCCTTCATATGAGCAGTTTCGTCAGCCTGATCTTGACTGTTTATTGGTTGCTGGACCATGTGATTGTGAGACTCCTTGGTTACTTTCATCAACCCATGCTGTTGATCAAATCTGATAACCAGGCCATATGGGCTACAATTCTGGTTGCACATTTTCTATATGATAACCTAAATGACAATGTAGTCCCATCATATGTAAGAAGGTTCGTATACTCCAACTCTATCTAGAATTCCTCTTTCCTATCTGGAGCATTGAGATTGCCTGTCGTTGCGACCTGAGAGAAAACATTTACCTCCAGTCTTCAGGTAAATGGACCAGTCATGCACCAACGACTAGGTTGCTTTTGTTGACGACGCCAACGTCCTGTCATTAGTTCGGATAAATTTCTCTCCTTCAGTGGCTAGGGATTCTTGTGAACATTTTCTGCCACATCAACTCTTAAACTGAGTCATCCTCCCTGCTGTTTTGTTATATCTATTTCATTTTTTTGAAATGGATACTTAATGACTACCAATTTCTGAACTTGCAGTTTGCTTCTGCAGTGTTAAATCTTTAATGTTGTTGAACTCGTGAAAATTACAAAACAAACAAATGTAATAACTCAGGCTTTTTCTTCTCAAATGAAAATTTTTCAATTAACATATTTCATGGACTACATTTTATAGCATGATTCTTGTTCATTCCCATTGTAAAATCCTCTCATCAGTAAACCAAGTTCTTTTGCAGGATATGAGCATTCGAGAAGCATTGATGAGGGCAGAAAAGTCACTAAAGCTGAGCAAGCGAAAGGACTGGTACAAGATACTAGGTATATCAAGGACTGCATCCATTGCCGAGATAAAACGTGCCTATAAGAAACTTGCTTTGCAGTGGCATCCAGATAAAAATGTAGACAATAGGGAAGAGGCAGAGACTAAATTTAGAGAAATAGCAGAGGCATATGAGGTGTGACCTTCAGCAGTGTAAATTCTTACTTCTATTAAGATTTAAGATTAGAACAGGGTGTTTGCATTTGATGTCCCGATGTTAGGACATGAATGAATGCGGCCATATCATCATTGTCATTCATCAGTTCCACTTCTTATGGCTCGCATCTGGATGTCTGCTCCATCTAACAGCCCTGTGGTACTGGGTTTTGATGATATTCTTGGAACTCTAAGACACATGTTTGCACTTTTGAAGTTCTGCATTCCCTGTTTAATTAGCTTTACTTGTCATGGTAGATCATCATTTTCACTTGAAATGTTGGAGGCTTAGGGTTTAAAACAAAGCTATCATTTATTGGTAAGTAATTTTTCTTTTTGTATAATTTATTTTTAGTTTTTTTCAAATTTTCCTTTTATTACGCTTGTTTAAGAACAAAATATTGTTAAAAACATGAGATTGGAAGTATTTTTTTTTTGTTTTTTACTTTTAAATAAAAATCAAAAAATTTCCATGTCCTAATTATTTAAGGTAATTAAAAGGAACACTTTGTTTATGTGGAATTAGATCGTGTATTTCAATTCAATGTTTTATTCAAATTCTCTAACTTTATTTATTTTTAGAGAAAATTTCGTACAAAAGCTTAATTCCCCATCTTATTTCATGGTAGACCCTCCTTCTATTTTCCTTTCAAGCGGCATAAAAAAAACCCCGAGGATTTCACCGCACCCTTTCATCTCTTATCTCTAGCCCCAACAAATTGTTTTATTCCATCTCAATTTAAAAGCCTTTTTAACCCTAATTTATACTTTTTTAACCCCCATCTCTCTCGTCTCTTTTTCCTTGTTTTCATTTTGACTGTAGTAATCTCTCTCTCTCTACTACGGCAAGGATTATCTCTCCATTCACCACAGTGGCAAAGTCTGTTCATCTCTTACGATAAGTTTCTCTTTCTCTCTTCTCTCACGCATCCCTCTCTCTCTCTCTTCTCTCACGCATCTCTCTCTCTCTCCTCTCTAATGCATCTATCTCTCTTTGATTATTGAAATCTTTTGCAGATTCCATATCTCTATTCACTGGGTTCATATAGATTTTTCCCTTGAAAGACTGCGAAATGGAGTGCGGTTGTTCATCATATAGATTTTCGCTTTGACATTGGAAAGGCCGCGAAAAGGTGGTTGTTCATAAAAAAAACCATAAAATTTGTTTTTGAACCCAATTCAATTCAACAAAAAAGACAAAATCATCTTTTTCTTTTTTTGACCAAAATCATCTTAGAACGCATGTTCTTAAAGAACTTGTACTCGTAGGTATTTTCAAAATATTTCTCATTGGATCTGACCCATGTTCTTCTCGGTTTGAAAGTGAAATCTGTAAAAGAATGAAGGAAAAGGAAAATAAGTTAATGAATTAAATTGATAACTATTGCTATCGTGTGTAGAATAACAAAGAACATACAAGAAATGCAGAGAAAAAGAGGAAAGATCAAAATTAATAAGGATGAGAGAGAGAGGAAGTGAGAAATAAGAATATAGATAATAGTGAGAGAGAGAGAAAAAAAGAACAATGACGAAACGGTAGAGAGAGATCAGAAACGAAGGATTGACATGGCAGCATCACCAAAAAATGGGAGGAATGGAGGTTTCGAAAGCAGGGATAGACAAAGAGAGAGAGTACAATCCCCAGATGGTGAGAGAGAGAGAGAGTACCAACACTAGACGGTGAGAGTAATGGAGGTTTTGAAGGCAGGGGGAGAGAGAGAGACAGATAGAGGGTGAGGTTGAGATTTGATTAAACGGAAATAAGGGCAAGAGAAGAGGGCCTTTCAAATTTCAAAAGGAAAATCTACATGATGAACCAAGTGAATAGAGGTCTAAAATCTGCAAAAGATTTCAATAATGAAAGAGAGATGCGTGAGAGATGAGAGAGAGAGAGAGAGAGAGAGAGATGCGTGAGAGATGAGAAAAAAAGAGAAACTTACCGTGAGAGGGTGAGAGGTGAGCATACTTTGTCACTGTGGTGAATGGAGAGAGAGAGCTTTTGCCGTAGTAAAGAGAGAGATTACCATAGTTAAAATGAAAATAGGGAAAATAAGACGAGAGAGATGGGGTTGAAAAAGTGTAAAATAGGGTTAAGAGGTCTTTTGGATTGAGATGGACTAAAACAATTTGTTGGGGTTAGTTTTTATAGCAATAAGTGAATAAACGAGAGACAAGAGATGAGGGGGTACGGTGAAATCCTTGGGAGGGTCTCCTGTGAAATAAGATGGAAAATTTGGGTTTTGTACGAAATTGTCCTTTATTTTTATTTTATTATTAAATCGTACTTATGATTGCAATATATACTTTCACATTATTAATTAGTATACAAATACATCTTATTAAAAATATTAGTAATATAATTATGTTATATTGCTAAATATTATGATGTTCTACATTAATAAATTGATAATTGAAATTATAATTAAATCTTAGAAATACATTATAGTGATACTATTTTCTTTGCGTATTTATTTATTATTAATAAAGGAAAATATTGTTATTACAATTTTTTTATATGAACACTTGTAATAAAGAATGACATTGGTTAGGAGCAAATATTAAGATTTAGGTTTTCGAAATCTAAAACTCATAGCAAACGTGCATATTGATTGATTTTTTTTTTTTCTTCTATTGTTTGAGTGATGCTTATTCACCTGTACTAAAAGATATACCATTATTAAATTTTTGTTTATATAAATGTAATTATGTTTGACTTATTCCAATTTATTTTTCATATATTATTCTATTAGATGAGATTATATAAATTGTGCAGCACATCATATCCTTACAAGTGATATGTATAGGGAAAGCTTTCTATGTTTCCCTTACAGTATAAAAGTTCTATCTTTCCCCTTATCCAACCGTCCATTCTGAATAGAGGGATAAGATTGTCCCAATTACAATGTCATGTCTCTACACTATTTTATTTTTAATTTTTTCTATAAACTATTTTGGCACCAAATTTTGAAGTCCATTCTTCTATTAAAATCTCACTAGCGAAAAATATAATTTTTTTCAATAAAATAAAATGACCAAAATACCCCTAAAAGTTACAAGGGGTATTTTGGTCATTATATTTTATCGAAAAATTATTTTTAGTATTTTTTGTAGGTGCATCCCAATGAGAAGATGATACATATCAAATTTCATATTCATACAATTTGTATAAAAAAACTAAAAATAAAATAATTTGAGATGTCGGATCTAAGATTAAACGGTGAGTGGCTCTCTTGATCAAAATTGGACGGTTGGATGGTAGGGGGAGGATATAACTTCTATATTATAGGGAAAAAATATATTTAATTATGTCTGACTTATTAGAATTTATTTTTCATTTATTGTTCTATTAGATGAGATTATATAAATTGTGCAGCGGATGAGATCCTTACAAGTAATATATGTATATGTTGTATGGGCCCACTAAATAAATTTATGTTTCTATTGATTTTTGTCCCTTTAAATATATAAAACTAATTTCTATAGAGTTAGAATACTAAATTTTTCCAATTTTTTGTAGAAAACAACATTATCTTTCTTTTTTTTTTTGGTAAGTTTTGAAGAACTATCATAATTCGTGTTCTCTTTGTAAGTAAAGACTTTAGTTTTTCTAAAAAGAGCAAGCTTTCTATACTTCCCCTGTAACATAAAGCTTATATGCTTCTCCTTATCCAACCATCCATTCTAAATGGAGGGTTAAGATTGCCCCAATCATAATGTCACAATTCCACACCATTTTATTTTATTTTTGTTATAAATTATTTTTACACCAAATTTTGTGCGTCCAATCCTATATTAAACTCGCTTTTTAAAAAAAATATAAAAACATTCCCTATAAAATAAAATACCTAAAATACCCTTGAAAGATTCAAGGGGTATTTTAATCATTATCTTATCAAAAATTTATTTTTCATATTTTTTATTGGTGCGCCCCATTGAGAAGATGGCACATACCAAATTTCATATTCACACAATTTTTATTAAAAAATTAAAAATAAAATACTCTTAGGCATCGGATCTAGGATCAAACGGTGAGTGACTCACAAAATCAAAATTGGACGACTGGATGGATGGGTAAGCATAGATCTTCTATGCGGTTGGGGAAGTACAAAAACCTTTCCCTTCTAAAAAATCGCTAGTTTGTTTTCGTGATTCTTAAAATTATTTATCGAAGGATTTCAAATATTTGTATTAAGCAAATGTTAATGGGTCGAGTGTAGCGTACAACTTTTAACTTATAACTACCAAGAAATATATGTGACTAATTTATATTATCTATTGTGACTTTTTAAAGTTTTGAAGTAAATTAGACTAAATAAATAAATAAATGAATAAATAAATTATATATATATATATATATGGAAAAGTCTTCCCAACGTCTATAGGCGAAAATAAATAGTGATTTCACCTACTTTTATCACCGTCCAAATTTCATCGCGCGGTCACAATTGTCCAATAATGTTTTATTTTTCATTTTCTGCTACAAATTGGAATGATCTGAAATTTGGAGGGTATATACATCTTACGGAGGCGCATCTAATAAAAATATAAAAAAATTATTCGTGGAAAAAACATTGACCAAAAAGTTTAGAATATATATATTTGAGATCCTACACATATGGGTGGTAGAGGGATCTATCAGATCATTTTAAT